TATCGACTTGAGTTGCCGGACGATTCTCATATACATCCGGTCATACATGTTTCGCAGCTCAAGCGAAGCCCTGGCGAAGCGCATTCAGCGAAGGATAGGCTACCCGCAGTCGCACCGGATGGGCAAGTTGTAGTCCGGCCATGCCACGCGGTCGAGTACCGGCAAATCAAAAGGGCCAGAAAATACTTTTGGGAAGTACTCGTCGAATGTGAGGATTTGCCGAGTGAAGAGGCAACTTGGGAAAGTTGGGACGAGATGCGCGAAAGATTTCCCGATTTCATCCTTGAGGACAAGGAAGCACTTGAAGGGGACGAGAATGATGAGAACACGGCAAGAAGGCTGAAGAATGCGGCGAGCCGCACTTATCATGCACGGCGGAGGTTAAGCCGCCGGGCTGCCGAGGCCCAGCTCGTTAGCAAGCATGCGCGCGCGAGCGGTGACGCGCGCGAGAATTTCGACCAAGGACGCGATAGCGCGAGTACGGTCGAGGGGATTCACGCGCGAGCATCCCTAATCGCGCAAGGAATAGGCGATGCTGATGACGTGGGCGCGGGAGTCCGGCACGCGCACAATGGCGGCTAGGGTTGGGCGACGCAAAACGGATTCAATAGATTAGAATCCTTTTCTTTCCTTAAGTCCTAGTATGATAGGATATCTTATGTTTTATTGCTTTCCTAGTTTAAGTTGATTAGCCTTAGTAGAATAGGATTAGATCTTTATTTTGAGCTTTATAAATAGGCGCAAGCATTGTTACTTAGGATATAATTGATTCTTCTTAATACAAAAATCCAAACTTTTGTTCAATCACTTTGTAAAGATTTCCTTGAGTTCTATTGCAATTTTACTTGTTTCGAAGGACTGTGGACGCGGATCTTCGAGACCCTATCCCGATTTAAGGCACTCGCGTGGCTTGTCGACAGGCCGAACACACGATCTTCATCAGGCCGCCGAGTCCGCTGCCCGCCAAGCCCGCCTAGGAAGCCTACGTAAGCCTAGGTGCCGCCTAGCCGCTCACCGGTTTTTTCAGCCGATTTGTGCAAATCGGAGGCGGTCGGGCACCGCCTAGCGCCTAGGCCGACTTTTATAACAGAGATATTTATATTAAAACTAACTGATAAGTTAGTTTATAGTTTATCAGTAATTTTCAAACTTATAACTTATAGCTTATGATGAAAAACACTTATATGATAAATAGTGTTTAATAAAATTAGCTGATAAGCTAGTTAAAATCAAAATTTCAACTAACTTTATTTATTTGAAAAGCTACCTAAAAAAACTTATAAGGTAGCTCGAGTTTAAAAAAAATAAAAATAAATAAAAACTCGTACTACCAAACGAAACTTTATTTAAATAAATAAACTATAACCTAACTATTAAGCTATCCTTCTCAAACCTAAATGCTACACTATTAGATTCTCTTGTTTGTTATTTTGGAAAATCTGTTCTGAAAAATCGAGTGAGAACGAGAAGGTGTTCATTTTTTGTTTAAGTGCAGATTCCCGATCAGCGAAGAACCCTAACCGCACCAATTTCTCTTAGCAGAAATGTTTAAGAAGTAAGTTCGGCATGTTTTCTCATTGAACTTTTACCAACCATTTGCTTTGAATTCCAGGATTTTCATTTGTCATATCTCATTCATTCATCACAGATTCTTATTTGCTAATTGTTTTTACGCCGAGCAATTTGTTTCATTGCACTGTGAATTGCGCCGTCCGTCTTAGATGTTCCTTTCTCTGCTTCAACCTCATGGCTGGCTGTTACCATGCATTTTGATGTGTGTGTGGGGTTGGGTAACTAGGGTTTTGTTCAAGAGTTACGGATATTTTTCATTTCTTCCCGAATTTCCTTGACGGTGGCTTGTCTACCCACTGTATCGAGAGTTTGTTTCTTTAGTTCGATCGACCCTGGTACAGAACATATTGATTCATTGGAGTCTTAATCCCAGTATTCATGCATTTTGATTTGTGTGTGGGGTTGGATAACTAGGGTTTTGTTCAAGAATTACGAATACCTTTTCATTTCTTCCCGAATTTCCTTGACGGTGGCTTGTCTACCCACTGTATCGAGAGTTTGTTTCTTTAGTTTGATCGACCCTGGTACAGAACATAGTGATTCATTGGAGTCTTAATCTCAGTATTGATAACTTGAGCCCTATGCAATGGTCTGAATTTTTGTCCAGAACCCAAATGGTTTGAATTGGTTTCTTGTATAGATTCTTTCGCATAATAGATGGATAGTTTCTATTTTTATTTTATAATTTCAGGTGAAGTTTTGTCAATTGAGTTGATATCTGAACTGTATATATTGTGTTCTCTTTGATGTTGCTCATGTCAGATATATGGCTGTTATGAGTCTTTTGCTTGTTAGTTCATGATGAGATGGTTGATAATTGTTTGTTAAAGTAAAACTTGATCAAATTATGTATTTTACCAATAAAACAAAGGAAACTCTAAAGTATTCAAGCTATGAAATCTATATAGCAACAAAAAATTTCAAATCCATATGGTAAGTTGTTTTAAAGATGAACATCTGTGCTTGCACTTGAAAAATCTTGCTCAAGTGAGTTACGATAAGTCAAAGTTGTGCCATGCATAGGGATGCATACGAAATATTAATTTGAAAATATTAGAAACGTCGAGTATTAGTATTTGTACTATTTCACTCTAGCCTCTTATGGGCATGGTTCTGTCTTGAGAAGTTTATTAATTTAACTTCTAGAATCTTTTGTTGAGATTCTTTTGTAGTTGTAAAACTAGATCTTTCCTTTTGCGAGTCATGAATGTTAATATGTTAGTGAATGCCACATAATGACATATTATCTTTTGTGTTACAAGTATTTCAGTGGCATACTTTGTATCCAATTTGGTGTAACTCAAGTATGGAGATACAATGAGGTTCTTGAGTTTACATTTCTTCCCCAACCCTTGAGATTGACTTGTTGATTATCAATGTCCTCCATCCCTTTTACCCCCAAAATTTACACATCTAGTTTGACTTCCTTTTTCTGTTTGCATGTGCATGTACCACACAATGTACTTGATGTTGGCAACGTTTCCTATTCATTTGTACGTGCATTAGATGTGGTTAAAGCTGATCATAGTTGAAGTAGAAGTCTAATTGAGTTAATATTCACAATGTCCTATTATTATTCTTCTTCTGCTTCTGAAGATGGTAGTACTATAAGCCAGTGTTATCAAATGGCGGCCATGGCGGTATGCCGTGGCGGATTTTTGACAGTTCGCCATGCTAAATTTTTGAAGGATGGCGGTAATGGTGGCGCCATAGGCCGCCATGGAGGATTTCGGGCAAACCGCCATCCGCTATTAATAACACTGCTATAAACCACGTGTGACCATCTCTGCTATTTTTAGTTTTAAATAGTGGATGGAATCAGCAATTGACAAAATCTTTGACACATAAGGCTGTGATCTATGAGTTGCAATACTTTTACCTAATATATCCAAGCTCTGCAGTTATTTCGCAGGGCCCATGAGGGTTGGAGTGGGCTCTTTTTGGACATTGATACATAAGTATACATTTTATTCTCCATTGAGAGTGTATTTCGTGACTTTGGCTAGTTAGTATCAACTAAATTGCATGGTAATTGGTAAATGAGTGGTTATTGTGAGTGTAAACATGTATAATAGATTGTTTCTTGTGATTACCAGTCTCAAAAGTTCTCAAAAGTTGTTGATATTCTGGTAACACTTATCCGTAAAGCGTAAGCATTCTGATCCCCAATATATCTATTACTTTTAGGTTCTCATCCGAAGAGGTTTCTGCTCAAAATCAAGTGAAAGCATCTGTGCAGCGAAAAATACGACAAAGTATTGCAGAGGAGGTTTAAATACTGTCTTTTTGAGTTGCTTTTGCTTCTAATAAAGTGAACTTTTGATTCTTATGTTTATGTTATTCTTTTCCCAGGTATATGTTGTAATTTTTACTTTAATTGCTGTTGTTTTTTGTGCAGTACCCTGGACTTGAACCTGTGTTGGATGACTTGCTGCCAAAAAAATCACCCCTAGTTGTTGCAAAATGGTTTTTCTTTAACTGAAAGCTCATATCGTACCTGGCATGTTCTTAAGTATATCTTTGTACTTCGATTCTGACATGGAAACCCTCTCATTTGACCTTTTGAAGTCCAAATCATCTTAATTTGGTTCTGGTAAACAATGTGCCGCTGTTCTTCAACGTACGGGATGGACCATACATGCCTACATTACGGCTTCTTCATCAGTGTAAGAACTTTACTTTGAGATTACCTCTAAAACATGCTGATTCTACTTTATTATGTATGTGCTGTTTTTATACCTATAAAAGCGTAGTTGAAGATAATGCTTGCATCTGTGGAGATTATGAGGGGTTATGTACTAAAATTATGTGGTGACATTGAATTCTCGGAAATGATGGATTATAGTAAGCTTATAGTTTCTAATTCCTTCATGGTTAATGGTAACAAATGGATAGATAAAGGATTAATGGCTGAGAATTAGAATCCAGGAATACTGTTTGTAATATAAGTATCATAACAATGGCAGAAGACCTGACAGGTTTAAAAAGTTTATAGAATGTACTTAAACTTCATTTTAGCTCTGAAATTGCTTTTGTGAATTCTAGTGTTTCCTATGTGCTCATGATTAAGCAAAATATTTGACGTCTGAACTGGAATTACTGGAAAATGACTTTACATTTGAGTATTAAATGACAAATCACTAACTCAATGCCTCTTCTCATTTAGCCAGTGCCTCCCTAGTTACTGGTAAATGACTTTAAATTTGATTAAATTAATGACTAATAACCAATTCAATGCTGATTGTCATTGAGCATTTTCTAGGTTACTCGTACTTCCCTAGCATAGTTTTAGATGGCGAATGGCGAGGCGAGGCGATTGGCCCATGGCCTCTCCACGAGGCGAGGCGATTCGCCATGGCGAGGCATCGGCTACACATGTCACCAAAATTTAGAAAAACAATATTATAGATTGTGCAATTAGATATATGTACAAATGATAAGAAAAAAAAAACATCAAATATCTTCCATAAAGGCAAGAACACAAATGAAGCACAAGTTCATAGCACAAACACCACTTAAGAAAGTAAATGAAGGTTTTTGAGGGTGAAGATTTTTTTGCTTGTGTTCTCAGTCTCATAAAACCCTAGCTTCATGGTCTGGGAGATGAAGGAAGAAAGAACCCGACGTGCGGTTTTTTTTTATTCTCTTTTCCAAAATGTGTTCAGGCTTTTCTTTTTCTTTTTTTCTTTTTTTTTTTAAAAAAAAAAAAACGGGTATGCACCTTTAATTCCCCTGAAAGACGCCGAGGCGCGCCTCTTGCCACACAAAAAGGCGAGCCAAAGCGATCGCCTCGCAAACATGGTCGCCTCAGGCAGTGGCGAGGCGATGTGGCCCTCGCCTCGGTCGCCTCGCCTTGAGGCGTCGCCATTTTAAACTATGTTCCCTAGTTACCTTAAAGAATTTCTTCTGCAATATCTTTTCTGATACGTATCTATATTCAAATTTCCGTATTTTAATTAAGTTATTTAATACTCGTCAAAATAAATCTAGCAATAGTGGATAAATCGTTTGCAACAATTATCCAGTTGTCTTCCTCACCATTCAGATTTCTTGGTATTGGGATGGGGGCACAACAGGCATCCTCCGGGCCGTGAAAATTTGGAATGTCTTTTGAAGTCAACTGCAGCCTTGAGCACAAGCTGTTCTGAACAGCAGGGAATTGTTAGAGATCCATCTTTGTTTCATGTAATTCAATAGTTGGGCTTCTGGGCCCATTAGGGTTATATTTAGAGTTAGGATTCTATTTAACTAGACTTGGTTGATACCTAGGACTATCTTTCGTAGAATTGAAATTGTTGGCCTTAGGCTTGGGCCTTCCCAATTTGACGCTTTCGCTTGGGATTGGGTTCTCTTGTTTGTTTCCTTTTCAAATTAATTAGATATATTTCAGTTTTATTTGCCCATATACCGATAACAAAATTTGAGAATCTTTCATAAGTAATGATAAGTAGGGCCCATTTTCTACAGAAGTGAACGCATGAGTTCAATTCCTACATCACATATAAGACCTTCAAAGCCAATTAAACACAACTGAAATGCAGATTTAGTTCCCGTGCCTTGTAATTAATGTGAGTGCATGTTGGGGTTTTTTAGGGGTGGGGGAAGGAAAATCCTTCTGATACTGTTAAGTAGATTACATTTTAGATTAAATGTCTACTCATATCTGTTCCATTTTATACAAGGATAGACTCTACTTAATTACTAAATCTCCTAGTTTATAATAGAGGCTGAACGTCATCTCTTCATATTAGATCTTATTCCTTGACCTCTATTATTTCGTGTGGGTTTATCATAAATGAATATCCTTGCATGATCTGTCTATTTATTTGGCAGATCCAAATATAATGAAAAAGCTGCAAGTTGACAGAGGGGCTATAAAATTCGTACTTTCTGGTGCCAATATCATGTGTCCAGGCCTTACGTCTCCTGGTGGTGCATTGGATGATGAAGTAGAAGCAGAAACTCCTGTTGTACGAATCTTGACTCTTAGCTTACTACCTCCTATAATGGGAAATGTTCTGTTTATGGGGTCAACCTGTATGTTATGAATTCTTTAGTTGTTTAATAATTGTGGGCTGGTTTTTGTTCTCTTAAAAAAAACTAACAATTTGACTCTTTGTTTATTTGTCAAACATTGTTGTCTTAAGTTTTTCTTTTGACCATCAGGCTATAATGGCTGAAGGAAAGCAGCATGCTCTAGCAATTGGATTCACAAAAATGTCAGCAAAAGATATGTAAGTGAACTCTTGATATGTATGTTAGTGCATGCTGTGAAAATAAGTTGTTGCCTACTATCCTTACCCCAAATCACCTTTTAGTCTTTAGGATTTCATTTAAAGTCTTGTTATTGATCGATGCAATTTTTTGGGTTGCTTTGCATACATTGGAATTAGCTCTAAAGCTATGATAAACCATGTGCTAGTTTAAGACCTACACTTCTTGACCATGTTCTACTTTTGTTCCCCTTCTGGATTTTTTTTCCCTTATTGGAAATTTATTTGATTTGACTAATGGATTCTGTATTCAATTTGGTAATCAGCTACTCTTCTCCATTTCCTGCGCTGTTGGCTTTGCGTGGCTGTTGGGTAATCCCAGCTCTGCTAATGAAAACTCTGAAAATAGAGTTAAACTGGGTCAAGTTTAATTGACATAAATCTCACCTAGTCGTCATCAAAATAATTTATATAGCATAACCTTTGCAGTATTCGGCCGAACAATACCTAAATCTACCTTAAGCACCAGTTGACATTTTTTTCCTGTTCATTTTTTGGCTTTTATTTTTGGCCGATCCAAATTTCTTTTACTTTCGGGAACATTTTTTGTGCAAATTTCGTTTGCCATGTACTGTTGACATAATTTATCCAATGTCCTGCGGTACTTGCTAGTTGTTACGGTTGTTTAACAACCACTGCTTTTCCTTTGTTCTCTTAGGTCTGCTGCACTTTCCCTTAATTTTGCTTCCATTGTCTTACAGGTTGGATTGTTATTAATTAAATAAACAAAAACTATTCAAACTATTGATATATAAATTTTATGGCATTGATTAGGAAACAACAGGGCATTGTATCAAGCAATTAAGAAATAAAAATATATAACATGATCGATACTGTTAAATCATTTCTGACATTAAACAAATTTTACATATACAACCTTTTATTTTTATTTTTTACTTATCCTGTGCATGTACAGAGCACTATTATGCATCTGAAGTTTGAAATCACTATTCTTCAAGATCTGGCTCTTACCTTCCATTGTACTCCACTCCAATGTCACACGCTTGACTCTTTCCTCTTGTTCTGATATTTATTTTTACTTCAGCTCTTACCATCTCTATCCGTCGTGGATGATTAGAGAACTGGAGAGTGGTGGTTATTTACATGGGCAATTTGGGTCTTTTTATTTATGTTTTTCTTTCCTTTATGTCTTGACAACATAATGAGGGCTTGTAGCATTGATCTTGTGCATATTCTTCTGTTGGAGTATGGATTTGATTTTTCTCCTAGCTTTTAGCGCAGGTGAGTATGCATTGTTATGCCCTCAGTATTACCTTTGTGAAATAAGCATATCTGGAGGGCATAAGACAATGGATCTGTTCTGGGTGTGGTTGATCACGATATTAATGTGTGGTAGCTTTTAGGAATCTGAGATTTCTTAGCCTGTCTTTCTTACTAAGGATAGACTTCATTGCTAGAATCGATGGTAGAGGAGACGGGTTTATCTTGTTTATTGAGGAGGCAAGTACGTAAAATATGAATAAACAAAAGAGTAAATAATTAACTTTTTTTATGTATTTAACTTTTGTGGATTTTTATTATATAATTTTGTTATGATTGATTTTTTATTGTATTATTGAATTGTATATTTTCATAGTCTTGTTATTTATATGTTATCAATTATAATCAGTGTTATCAAATGGCCGCCATGGCGGTATGGCGTGGCGGATTTTTGACAATCCGCCATGCGAAATTTGTGAATGATGGCGTTCATGGCGGCGCCATAGACAGCCGCGGCGGCCGCAATCGCGGAATTTTGGCAAAACGCCATGTAACGCCGTCCACCATTAATAACACTGATTATAATATATCTACCTCTAGGGTGAGAAATATTGTTCTCAAACGCATGAGAATGCATAATACGAAGTGGTGCGGAAACAATGGCAAATCCCATGTTTATGACTTATCTGTAATGTTGAACCCCAATTCTAGAACATATCCATAATTCAAGATCGGCTGGCCTCCCAGGGCCTGCAGGTCCACCTTCTGGTGGGCCCTAAAATGTCCAGCCTGGCCCATAGACAAGGGTTGAGGCCTTGAAAATAATCGTTGACAACCTGGGGAAGAACTCTCTTACTGGGTGGCACTGATGAGCAGTGCTGAGTGGGCACACTGGGGAGCCATTTTTTAGTTTTTCTCTTGTCCCCTGCGGGCCTATAGGCCCTATAAATACCTAATCCAGCATGCAGGCCAAGCCGGTTTTCACTTTTAATAAGTGGACTCACCCTATTCCATCAGCCTCTAATTCTGTCTAGAGGAAGCTTGTTGCTTGGAAATCTAAGATCAAGGAAAATTATATAGCAAATTGCAACCGTGGAAGTCGCTAATGTTGTCTTCAGGACCATTTCTTAACATAGTGATGAGTTTTGTTAAGTGGGCGCTAGCTTCTTAATCGGAGAATCAAAGATCGATACAATCTACTTCAAAAGATTATTGTAACTTCAAAACATGACTCTAGTATTTTGTTATTAAGATGAACCCATGTGTTAGATTTATGGTTAATACCTCGTACATATTCCAATTCAATGATTTTTCTTTCCTTTTTTTTTTTGTTTGTATTTTTGAAATGTTTGTTTTGTGTGACCTTTTTATTATTTGAATGCAGACGAACATTGAACAAAGGAATTGGTGTGGACAACATGCACTATCTTAACGATGGCCTTTGGAAGGTACTTGTATTGTTAAATTCTGCATTCTAAACTTTTTACTCCACCTTACCGGTTAATTCACTTTAATGTTACAGGCAACTGTTTTTAATATTTGATGTAGGATTAGGATGGTTTAAATTCTGCATTCGAAACTTTTTCTCCCCTTATTTTGCAGATGGAGCGCCTCGGCTAACTGATAACGAATGATCTAAAGTTGATGGTGCCCGTCATCACGTACATCGGGATAACTGAGAAAACGATAAAAGTTCGATTGCAGAATGTTGCGTTCATATGTTTGTTTACATTCACTTGGTTTTGTAGCTTTACTAACAAGTAACGGTCATTGCTATTTGCTCAAGTATCCGTCCCTGTTACTTGAATTTCAAGATATCTATTTTTCATGCCCTTTGGAGCAAGCCACACTCTTGTGCTCTGCATATCATATAATATTTAACAAGTTACTTTTTGGTCGAACAATCTATTTTTCGTGCGTTTTAGAGCAAGCC